AATATATAATATATAAAATGAGACATTCAAATGTATTGCTTAACGATCAATTAGACTTAAATCCCTCCCCTTTATTAAACTTAAATTCTCACAACATTAATTAAGGTTCTATTGTCATTTTTCGGTATATATAGTAGCAGGTAGTTCGTAAATATTACATTTGATAAAGATACGGTGTTGTCGACACAATTGTCAAGTAAAAATAAATAATTTCGTGAAAATCTGAACTTTTAGTCCTTATTTATTTTGAAGTGATTATAGCGCCTAAGATGTAGTCTTATTAATTAGGACCTTTGGAGCGGGCGGTCCGGGTCCACGCGAAATACAGTATGTTATATGGCAGTTCGCCGCCGAATCGCATGATTCATGGAGTCGGAACAAAAACATGTTGCGCGGACAGAAATATGGGGCCCGAGCATTGCTGTTCGGGATGGCCGGGCGACTTTTATAATAATATATAAACGCGCTCCGTTGGACCTCTCTTTCCGGCACTGGTTTTTTTTGGGGAGGGGGGGCGAGGCCCCCGCCGCCTCGCCGCCTCCGGACTCGGGGGCGGTGATATTTTTAATCCGCAATAAAGGAGTAATATTTCGTCTGGACGTGGACGCGTTGACGACGACGATATTAATCCTATATGGTGCGAATTTGGCCGTAACGAAGACTAACGGCGACGATAAGACGCTCGGTATATCTATTTCAATTCGTCGCGACGCGCCGCTGCGCCTGGATTCTGTTAAAAAAGCGGCAATAACCCGGTATCTAGGTTTGCAGAGCGTTTGTAGGACAACATCCCAGTTTATATGATTCAAAAAATTATTTTTTGTTTTTACATGAAACGTTCGGAAGACTAAGGAATGACCCTTTACCTACTATAGGTGAGATGGTCTCGAGCGGAATATAAAAAAAAATGTATAACTCTTATATATAATATAAATTCTTACAATATGCCTAATACAAATAAGATACGAGTTGCGTTCAAAATGGTAGATTATTGAAAATAACAAACATAACCTCACAAATTTGAAAACTGATCAAAACGTGAGCTGACGGTTTCCACGGAACTAACGTAAATGGAGTATGAAATTTCTTCGCTAGCGAGTTACAAAATTACCCCGAAGAACGCCCACTCAGTTTCAACACACATGAGCGTCTCAAACAGAAAAGTTTGGCAAGTGCAGTATCTATTATTGATGCAAACAATGCCTAAAAAAATTGGTGAGAGAATGGTGGTTAAAAAAATGAAGCAGCCCTTGCCGCTTCAAAATCTTTGGTCATCCGTATACATGTATCATATCGGTTCACTTAGATAATTATAAATACCCACTTCCTCCTCAAATTTTCATCGAACTAGGAAGTTTAAATACACTAGAAGCACGTAAAAGCGTCTTGACCTAAGTTATGCATACCTAAATGATCATGCAGGATTCGACGAACACTTGTATCAGAAAGCTTAGTAATTTCTGAGATTTCCTTGACCTTTAAACGTCGATCACTCAATACCACCTGTTCCACAATCGCAACAATATCTTCCTTTATGACCTCCACTGGTCGATCAGTTCTTGAATCATCTTCAAGGTACTCCTGCCCTATTCGAAAACGTTTTGCCCATTCTGTCACTGCTAACCCTTGCTAACCCTTCTTTTTGGCGCCAACCTCGTATTACCTGATTACATGATTCTTGATGGGCACTGTTCGGTATCCTCCGTTTTTTCATTTGTATTCCTGTTTGTTTTTATATGTTGTTTACGTTGTTATACCTATTACATATGTTTTTTTTTATTTTTTTTCTTTTGTACTTAGATGTGCTGTAAACATACTATGTTTTACCCTTGGGTGAGAGTACATTCAATTCATTGTAACGTGAAGCTACACCACTGTTAAAAAAACAGGATACCAGCTAGCAACTAGACCAAAATTTTTGATGCAACCATATTTATTTATTTATTTATTAAATTACACTTATTTTAGGACTAGTCCGGATTGGTTGACAAAAGAGTGAAGGAATTAACATCAACTTACCTGTTTGACCGCAGCTACCAGGTAATAGGGACCAAAAAATAAATTAAAAATAATCCCGAACATTTCCTTTGAGGTTGCTATATCAAGTCCAGTTTGATAAAATGCCATTTTCAACCAGTGTCTTACCAACTCATAGAATAAGTGGCGGCCTAAGATCGAAATAAAAAAAATCCTTGACGAAGTTCGGTAATGGGCGAGCGTCCCTAGTAGACGTGCTCACGTTGCCGAAAAGCAAAGAAGACGAAGTATTCTGTGGTTAATATGGTAGTTATGACTATGGCCGCACGGTTGCCTGTCAGTAAACAAACACACCATTTATATGCGAAAGAACTATACTGTTTTTATTATTCGTTTGTTTAAATTATCGATCGACGAGAAAATTTCGCCCTTTCCGACGTGTCGCGATGTTAAATTAATTAAACGGGTGGCGGAAGGGGGGGGGGCAATAAACAACGACCACCCGCCGGGGGGGATCGGAATCCGACGTCGACGACGGCTTCCTCCGGGATTTGATTCCGACGTCGCGAATTTGCATCTGTAAATCTGTCGCTGAATTAGCGACGATTTGAATTCCGAAATCGCGATTCCGGCGCCAAAAGGGTTGAGGGGTGGGGGTGGGGTAAACGAATACAACGATACTATTTAAAAATCTCTATTATTCCTGTGCCGCTTGTTCATGAATCGAACTTGCTGACGTTTCGCCAATCGTCCTGTTGCCTTCTTCAGAGGTTAACTGAAACTGACACTAACAGATTCGTCGAAAAATATAAATGTAGCATCCAAATTAATAACATAAATAAAATGTTCAGACTTTTGAGTGAAATAAATCTTCGTCTTTTTGCCAGAAAGCTGTGTTGTCCGGACACTCGGCTGTGTGTTTTGTAACATTCAGTATTAGTCCGCCATCATTGTTATGTTCCACCTACCGTTCCATTTCCTTAATGTGCTGGTGAAACCTCTCTCCCTGTTCTTCGCTAACTACTCTAAGATTTTCCTAGACGATGAAAGTGTTGTAACATATTTTGAACAATACTTTCGTAGTCTCCCTCGTTACAGTTCCCAAGAAACTTATCAATTTCTTCTTTAAATGAAACCCGTGCGTTTTTCTCGACATTGTATTTTTAAAATCCTGCCCTACGGCACAACAAAAATGCTTCTTTTATCTTGACATCAAATATGGCTAGAAATTTCTCGCACAACTATGTGAAACACTGTCCATTTTTGTCTATGGATTTAACAAACTGCTTCAGAGGAGGCAGTAAAACTTCTTTGGGGTCAACTAAGCTGTCTATTACTTTTTTGCTAATAGTCTTGAGCAAAATATTGACATAACTCTTTTTCGCGATCCCGGTAAGAGCTTGATGTGACGCCAGGTAAAGTGTGTTCATAGATATAAGAAAGTGACTGACTGATACGAATTAAGGAAAGAAATAGAAACTATTGATCAAAACCAAAAAATGTGCTGCTTGAAATATGCTTCAATACGAGTTTTAATTGTTAAAATAGGTGCACGAGTTAAATTAACTTTTCTTCCTGGGTCACTACCAAAAAGGCATACTCTGGTGTCATCTGAGAACCCCTGTTGGTCCAATGTCCAATTCAGATGATCCTCTGCAAAACGTAGGCGTGCTTACCGATGAGCTGGAGTAAGTTTTGGACCAATTGCAGTTGTTTTTGGGGCCAGGTTATTTTCCTTCAGTTTTCTTCTAACTGTCCACTGGCTAATAGCCACTGACGATTTCTTATTATTGTTGACACAATAAAGCGGTCATCACGAGCCGTTGCAATTCGCCTCCTGCCTGTTCCAGGGTGCCTAGCAAAATATTATGAACTGCTATGCGCGTCATATCCAGTTGTCGAGCAACAGCTCTCTGGCGAAGGCCACTTTAGTGTGGTATGCATGTAGCTATCACAATTGAACGATAACCAAATGGTTAAAAACGAATAACGTGAAAATTCCATTTGCAAAGGCGATTAATTGAAGTCTATAAGAAGTTTGCACTACAACTACTACATGAACACGTTTTCACTGACAAATTTGAACTCCATTTGAACCAAAGCATATTAAATTGTCTTCCAACTAGCATGTTTATGTTTTGGGTCAGATGGTGATTTTTTTAATTCCAGCGATTCTATAGCTTGTACTATTTCTTCGGATGTAGTTTTTTTTTAATTGGAATTGTTTATAATTTATCGGTATTAAACTACACATCCCATTTCTGACTGGTACGAGAGACAACACCCCCGCTCCAAACAAAGGCACTGTAGTTCGCTTCGCGAAATACTCCAGAGCGGGTTCCAGTGTTGCCGCGTTTTGCAGAAGTTCCCGGTTGTCTTCGCAGTGGACGCGGTCGCCGTACATTTTATTCTGGATGGGGTTTTCGGGCCAGTCGTTCAGGTCTCTGGCGGTAGAGGGCGCCAGTTTGTGGTTGATCGCACCGTAACGTTATCTATCTAGCGTTATTTAAGAATATCTAGATCTAAAGGTATAAAAAGGAGTAGACAATGGACATAAAAATCGGAGATCCTAAAGCTTCAGGAAAAAGCTTATTTGCTGGGATGGCAACGCCGCATTCCGTTAGGTTCAGTATAGTATGTCTCAAAGTATACCGGCCCGACTTTTGACGGATTTGAGGATTCATTAAATAAGAAATAAAACGCAAGCTATCATAGCCCACAAAAAAATATATTTATTTTGAAGCCAGTTACAGGGAACGGTAAGTTTTGCAAGTTTTTACATCCTCCTCCATATCGTTACACATATAACCTCAAAGAACATTTGTTGCACCAAGTAAAGTCAAATGTGGGAGCACAAAATGTTATTGCTATTTTAAGTCCGATGCAGTGCAGCCCATTTTGAATATTGAAAATACTTACATTTGCATATAAAATTTTATTAAACTGAATTTTGAGTTACTTGAAATTTTTACACTTTTTCTGTTGTTGGATTTTGAGTTAGGGTTTAGAAAATAGAAACTGTCTTACAGGAATAGAAATTTATATTCTATGCTATATTTTTTGCACTTTTTCCGTGGTTGAGTTTTAGGTTGGGGTTCACAAAATACATATTTTCCGACAAGAAAAGATGTTAACTTTGAAGAGTTTTATATTCTATGACATGAAACGGAAGTATCTGTGACCAGTGCCATTTCTACTCACCTTATTGAACTACGGGTTTTTCAAAAAAAAAAGATGTTAAACTCAAGAAAACTCAAAACTATTGTTTTTTTTTTAAGTGATTACACTTCTCCTGTAGTTGAATTTTGAGTCAGGTTTCACAAATTATATACTTTCGGGCAAAAAAAGAAGTTTAACTCAAAACAGTTTTATATAATGTCTCGTAATCTTTTAGTGGTAAAATTTTCGCTTTCGATGATATCCTTGATGTAAGCGTTCTCGGCTGTAGACTCTATGGAGAGGAGGCCCGTGCACCGCGCCCTGAAGACGTCCCTGGCTCTTGACCACATCTCACGCAGTCGCGTTTCTCTCGACCGGCAGCTCAGAAAATACTTGCCGACTGAGAAATGACCACCTTATTTTTACGCGAAAAAGTTAATATCTGATGTGATGCGTCTGATGTTCAACTTTTTTAGCAACCCGCGGAGCGCTAGGATTACATCCCAAGTGTTTAAACGACGTCGTTTGTAAACGTTCAATCGTGAATAACTTTTTTAAAAATATCAAGGGACCATTTTGGTAGAGCATTAAATTCCCGTTAGCGTCAATGTTCATTTTGAATATTGAGTTTGTTGTTATTTACAAAATTCCAAAATGGAAAAATTAAATCAAATAAACTTATTGACTTCCAACGAAAATTTTCAAGAATTTTTTTTTGCAAAAAATCGAAAATACGAATGATAGACCTTTTTCTCACGAATATTAAGGGCTCAAAGATTTCTTTTGGTTATTCTAAATTATTTTTTCATAAAACACATTTCTTTTTACCCAGTTTGCGAGGGCAAGTTCCCGGTTCAAAACACAAATGTTTTATGCAGTTTACAGGATTGTTTATTCAAAATTGTAGCGTTTCTGATCATATTTCTGCAACGAACTTAATAGTTTGTTTTACTAAAATATTTGTTAAATGTTGTCTTCTCTTTGCTTCTTCTTCAAAACAAATTAATAAATTACGTTTTTATATTTATTTGTTGTTCGTTTTTCTCATCAAGTAAAACAAGATTTTTTATGAATTTTAATTTGCGGCTAACAATTGACTCTGGAAAAGAATAATTGTCAGGATCTTTTAAATTTTTGTGTATAAGTGAAAATTTTCATTTTTTATTTTCAATTTTCAAATTGAAGTGCCATTAAAAGAAGGGCCCTTTTTTTAGTTTCCTGCAAATTGCGAACGCACCCCGTATATTCCTAACGATTTCTCGATTGTGGACTCGCGTATCTCTTCGTTCGCGAATTTGCTCTATCGGATTAATTGTTTTTAGGAAATGATTGTTTTCTCGAACCCTTGCAAACGCGATTATTAATTTTTTTTAAATACTTCTCGACCCGCTAGCCATCCCAAATTTCAGCAGGTCCTGTTAAAGTACCAAGCTCTATGCTTTCATCTAATTTCAAGTTTATAACTATAAATTTCGGACACTTATCGTGTTTCCTAGCGACGTTCGAAAAACAGAAGAAAATCACGAAAAACAGATGGACGCCGGGTTGCGATCGCGGCCATTTCCTACAGGCTTATGTGTCTAGAGGGGTTTTTAAAAAGAGACAAATTTCAGCTCAAACCGTTCGAAAGTTATTCACGATTTTATGAGGCGACCATATAGCTACTAGACATATAGAGGCCCTGCCTATGTTAATAGTGCAGGAACTCGTGAAGCAACTATGTAACAAAATTTTGAGAAGGTCTGTCCAATATGCGCATGCGCGAGATTTTAAATTTCAGTTTTAACCAATGGCAACGCTAATTGCACATTCTGACGTTCGACCCATAAGGCCTTGCGGCTTTCAACAACCAACATGGCCGGCGGCAGGTCGTCAATGTTTGGATGCTACATTTTTACTGAAGTATTTGCTCAAAATATGTCGAAATCCTATTAAATTTTTAAGCAAAAAAGGAATTAAGGTGTGAAAAGCGTTGTTAAAAAAATGAGCGACAAGTACAGGGTTAATATTATGCGGATCGGCCTCTTTAATATAATTCTGTACGTAGTTTGGCGTTTTGGTTCTTTAAGCCCCATAGACACGATACCAGCTATTTTTCCCAAATTTGTGCCCGTAAATCGGCGCAAACAGTTTATTTTTGTAAACTTAATGTTTTAACCTCCATTGAAAACGTAAATAAAGTCGAATTCACGAAATGTGACTCTAAAAGTGGTAACAACAAGTGAAAAAATGTTCAACAAGCACCTCCCAAATATATAATTATGAAAAGTACCAATTGACAATTTCATTAAAAAACTGTACGTATTGGAAAATGTACTATCAAACAAGTCAATAAACAATTAGCCCTAAATGCAACAGAACATTACCAAACCCTACAAGTGTAGTTTATTGTCTCAAAATTTAAAAAATAAATAAAAAAAATCTACGTTAAAAATATTTAACAGCAATTGTTATTCAATTTGGATTCAAATGTTAATAACCAAAAAATATCCTATTAAGAAATATTGTGGTTTATGCCACAACTATGACACCTTTAATTATAATAGCATTTTATAGAGTGTTTTATTAACACATTTTGGTTAGTATAAATAAATACACGATTTATTTAATAAGGCATTTATTGAAAAGAATAAATATATTATTGCTTATAAATACAATAAGACATTACATGAAAATATATGTTGCATTTTTTAGTAGCATAGTAATATTTATTTTCTATTTTTCAAGGAACTTTTATATTACTTGTTTGAGAGGATCGCCAACTTTAAAAATTGCAAAAAAAGAAGATGAAACCAAAAACATTTAAAATGCAATAAAATAGTGTTAATTATTAGTAGAATAACTACAGCACAAATTTCATTAACTGTAAATTCGAAACAAAATTTAAATCAAAAGCACTTGTTGACAATATGCCTTAAGTAAAATTCTCTTATGTTCAAAATAGAAAATTTTCAGTCGCAACGTAACTGTAAAGTAACATCGACTTTCGAAAGTAACAAACACATTTAGAAAATAAGTATTTATTGATAGAACTGGTTCTATTTAATCAGTTTCAAGGTGTGTATGTGCCTACTGCAGTATTCACTTACCTCTCTAAGGAGGTACGTAACCTACAAATAAAGTACCCCAAAATTTTGAATAGTTGCCTAGAATTTCTAGTAATTCTCAAAGGCCTTCAGACTTCCCAAAAATATCCTGCAGATTTATCGTTTAAGTTCTTCCTGCTGCAGCTGGCTGATTCTGGTAATTCTCTTTATAATTTCTGAAGGCAATTTCGTTTCACTAAGCGTGACAATGACAAACGAAAACTTTCCCACGTTGGAGTTTACAAGGATTTGTAATTATCAAGGAGGATTTCTTGTGATTGTTCTAGTAAAGGAGCAAGTAATGAAAGCACAAATTATGTCAGTTTGTGAGTAGGAGTCCTATAGAAACCACTTTTATATCTTTTAAATTAACGTGCACATAAGGCAACACTTACCCGTATATAGGCGCATTCTTTTCCTAAGAGTTTTGACCACAAACACAAGTTTTTCAAAAAAACACGAAAAAGAGACCAAAAATGTATACAACAATGTCACAGACTGTTAATATTCTCTGGCAATAGCAAGTCCTTGATTGCCAATTGTATTCGGATTTCAGAGCCTGATTTTGCGTTCTTAAGGCAGTTGCCAAATCAATGACAACTCATTCGGTTGTGGGTGACGCATGCGCAAAAGATCCACACCTTCTCTACGAAGATATCATAGTCCACAGTAGTAGAGCCACTACATTATCTTATAGCTGTATGGGGGCGACGATAGAGAACAGAGAACAGACAAAACATTTTCTTTAAAAATTTCATTCTATTCGCGGATATTAAAACCGTGAAGTCAAGAGTAACGATATCTCGCGTGGCAATTATCGTGTTAACTTAAAAAAATTATCATTTCGAGGACAATTCGTTACCTTGGGGTGAGATCACGTGCGAAATCGTCTTGTAACGCAAGTAGGGCACGGGATCGGCCATGCAATAGGACCGGACGTACACGTACATCACCAAGACCACTAAAGCGACGATGCACTTCATAGCTTTGTCGCACCACTGACCGACGACAACAAATTCTATATTATATCGATCACTTCCCTATCCGAACGGCTATTTTTGATCCCTCTTTCCCCCCAGCATCGATCGTTTATCGGGGTGTAATTATTTTACGCGCGAGACCTTTTTCCAGCAAACTAACGAAAATAAACAAAATGTTTTTTTTTTGGTGTTTTTATTCGGGTTTTATCGTATGTGGAGTTCGGGATTCGTATAGCGGACATATCTGAGTAGCTCGTCGCTGTCCTCGCAGATGAAGAAGCGCCTTTTGTTGCACGGCACATCGTGCCACCTGATGCCGTCGCCGTAGTGGTTGTTCAATATGGCGAGGCAATTTTCCGTCTGGTGCTGAATCACGTTACTGCGAAAAATCGTCAAATTTGCAAAATTTAGTCATGTTCTGAGCACTATGCAGCAGCACTAGCGTTAAGTGCTCTGTTAAGTACATAACTATACTTCGCTTATATATTCAGTTTTAACATATGAGAAAATGGTAAATGCAAAAGTTGTATTGCATTTCCATATCTTCTGGTGTTGTGCGGGGGTTTCATATCCGCACAGAAAGAAATGTATCACATGAACGAGGAGGCCATCTAATGAATTCAACTCTACCGATCCATTTCTGTGGACAGTGACTATTTAAACACTTCTCTGGCTGAAAGCACATTTGCTGCATCTCAATGTTATCAACTTATTGAAGATAAATAAGAACTAAAAGTTCTGATTCGTGTCTCAATCAAATGTAATATTTACAAATTACCTGGTAAAGTCTGTTCATAGATATAAGAAAGTGACCAACTGATACGAATTAAGGAAAGACCCGGGCAAGTTGTAAGAATGAAGTATGGCAGAACAGGTCCGTATTTTGCTTAGACTTTAATTATTTGGGGTTTTGTTAGGAAAGACACTAAACAATATTTATTTATTTATCTATGTATTTATGTTTAAATCTAAAATAAAATTACAAATTATTTTTATTACCTGTTTAAATTACTTAAAATTATTTACATGATATATCAGTATCACTGTCGCTATCATCGCCTGTTCTAATTGTTATTTGGTCTATATTATTTGCAATATGGATATACGATTGTTCTGTTTTTTTATATGTTTAACAGAATTTGCCCAACGTTATGGAGTGATGATAAAAACTTGGGTTTCTATAAGTTTGAGAACATTGGACTTAACACTGGGAAAAACAGTGTTACGACGAATGGCAGATTTCAGTTGGTGTCAAACATGTTCATTGGGATGTAAGGTGGAAGCCTTAAAACTGTATGCCCTAGATTTTTTGCATAATTATCACAGACGTATTGTTTTTGTAGGTTCAAGCTTTGTAGAACCTCATTTAATTGCTTTTTGGTATAATCTTCGTGAAAATAAATGTCGTTATTATACATGTATTTTTGGATTGTTGCTTTTTTGTCACATGAGGAAGGGGTTTTAGTCAACTGTCTACTGTGATAACTTGCATTGACCATTACAATGACGCTATTAGGAGGAATATCTAATGTAGACACCCTTTGTTCCTCGTTTAACTGATAAATTTTACGCCGTAATTTATCTTGATCACTTTCATCTACACTCGAGAAAATGTATGCATCACTTCTTTTTTTCCTCACAATTTTCCATACAGTTGATGTTGATTCTGGAAGGATCTACCTGTTTGTGCAATATAAATTTTAGGACAAGATCCGCATTTCAACCTGTAGACACCTAATTTTTGAGATTTTGGACGTTTCGTTTTATTCTTTTTTAAAAATTTTCCTATTGTGTTGTTAGTTCTGAAAGATATTTTCAAATCACATTTTGACAAATGTTTTGAAACTTTTTCGCTAGGTTCTCCTATGTATGTAATTGTTTAAAATTGTTCGTGTTCTGTATTAGGTTTCGGATAAATACAGTTTACTGTTGTCTGGATTGGTTTTTTATTTATAATTTTATCTATAATGGACGGATTGTAGCCGTTGTTCAGTGTAATTTATTCAATGATATTAAGTAAATTTATTTTTCGTTTTCGTAATATGGGAATCAGTCACCCGAGACTGTGTTTACGCCTCTCATTTAGCTCTGCCCCCCTCAAACAATATATAATCAGATACAGAGTAAAATGCGAACCAGTTTCAGTCAACCTCTGAAGAAGCCAACGCTATGATTGGCGAAACGTTAGCTGGTTCAACACAACAAAAACCGACGCTGGAGGAATCCAGAAGTTTTATAAAAAGTAACTTTAAAGTGTTTTATTCCACACCAAACATTAAATGACCAATGGTTTTGGTCTTGAACTTCCAGGACCCAGAATGGATCAACTGATGAATAAGAATGCACGTAATGAGGACTAACTGTACCATTACTTGATCCGTAACAGTTTTCCCTGTGTTCAGAGTCACGATCTAGAAGTTCTTGGCTCAGTTCCATATGGAATGATTAAATGTAGATTGGGATGTATCACATAAGCTAGGAAATGAAGGCTACTGACCTGGGCATTATGCTGAATTTGAATGTCTCACTTGCATCAAACCGTTCCATTAACAGAGATTGCTGGAGGCTAAAGTCTTACTGCCAACAAAGTATTGTTTTTCGCCTCACCCAGTATATAGGAAAATCCATACTCTGTTTTTAAGTTACTGACACCATAACGAGTTTTATGAATTTATTTATTCAGTTGTCAGGTAAAAATTGTCAAACATTGGTATATGATATTTCAGCAAAATAATAATAATTACGGTGATATTTGAAAATATCAGGATTTTTTAATTTAAAATTATCCACTATCGTAATTTTTTTGCAAGTGCAAAATTAAAATAACCGAAAAACCATTAGGTTTGGTCGTGTGTTATTAATAAAAAAGTTGAATTGAAATGAAAAATGAAAAATTGGGTGTTCTATTTAAGAAAATGCATCTTTCATTCGTCATCCTAACAAATAACGGATATACGAGGGTGGGATGAAAAGTTTCCGGCCTGGGACACACTGTACATTTATATACTTTTTTTGTTTATTGCTCCTCTCTAGCAATATGGTCAGATAGGTTTACTGCAGTCGTTTGTTGTAAACTCAATACCTCGAAGTATGCTATACTTACGTGGTGTCCGGTTGCGGTGTGCCCAAAGGACCGGTGTGCGACCAGTCGTTCTGCACTCGATCGGTAGTTGGCGCCATTTTCTTGAATATGGCCGTCCAGAACCAGCCGTTTATGTGGCGCGGCTGCAGGTCCTCGCGGTCGCAGCCCTTGAAGTCGCATATCCGGCCCGACGTCCACACCTGGTTCACCTGGACCGAAGACAAAACAACAAAATGAAAAAAAAAACAAGTTTTACTTAGAATTAAATAAACAAAACTACAAAGGATCAACGAATACATTTTATGCCTAACGTAATAATAATAATTGTTATTTTTGTTAAAATATACAGGGTGTGTGCAGAAGGTGTGTTTGTAATATTCAACAAAGTACCTTACCCCTTAAGTTTTTCTCGTTTTTTTTAACACCTTGTATATTTTAATAATTTTCTAATAAAATTCGTGGGAATTGATTCAAGATTTGAAAATTTTCTATCGAAATCGACTGAAAATCGCGTATCGGTCTCACATTTTCCTGAGCGATGACATTTTTGATCCATTCGTTTTCCGCGGTAGTTTCCAAGGAGACGGTGTCCATGCACCGCATCCTGCAGTAGTTTCTCGAGCCCAGCCAGTCCTCTTCGTCGATCTCGGGCCTCCTCCAGCTGTAGAAATAATTGCTACCTGAAAAAACCGTTGTTGTAGTTGATATTTTTAGTCCGGTCTCTCCAATGTATTCTTTACCGCATATGCATGGAATGGGGTAAACCATCTCAACATCTCGAATGGAATTTTTTTTTTGACGTTATACTTCTTTAGAACTTTTGATATGTGGTCAGTGATGTAAGGAAGGACCACAGTGGAAAGTGTAGGATTGCTTTCGGCCTCATTGCTATTAGAAGAGTGTGGTAGTCAGTACTATTCTGTATATAAAGATGAATTAGAAAAGATTCAGAAGAAATCTTGGAGGTACCTTTATTATAAGAAGTATATGATGTATCCTATGCCATTTTGACTGAGAAGTTTGGTGTTTGCACAATTGGAAAAGGAAGGAAAATTGCTGAAGCAATATTTTTGTATAAACCGGTTCGGGGAAGAATAGATTGTTCTTTTCTAGTTAGTGAATTGAGATTCATTGTGCCTACATATTTAGCAAGGATACTTTCGAAAAATCGTCGCCAAGCTGGGAAAATTCGGAGAGTCTATTGTGGACCGGATTTTCATTTCAAAAAGAAGCCAATTCGGGGATTTTGTTCTTGAGGGACGCATTGCCTTTCTATAGTGCTCCTGCTATGGAACTTTCGCAAAATCGATGTCATTTTATTGTGAATACACCCCGTATACAAAGTCCTTCACATCGCGTCGAACTTCAAAGTTCATAACCGACACACCCTGCATATTATTCAAACAATGTTCCAAATAGGGGTGATAGCCCGGGATCTCCCACGTTTCCTGGTGTATGATTTTTTCCGATAGAGTAAAGAAAATACTTGTTTTCTGAAACCATGCAGGACACCATAATTATCAATAACGTCATCCCGTCTCGATTGAGGGCGAGAAATTGTGATTTTCATTTGAATTTTTTCAAATATCTCGAACAGCGTATGTGACAGACGAAAAGCGTAAATACAAATATTGTAGCTCTCGATGTGGCTTATTACACTGTTTAAACCATTTGCCCATATTTCTCACGAATTTTGATTTACGGTAAATAATTTAATATCGAAAAGAACGATTTTCATGGTCCCTTAGATTTTTGTACATAGTTGAAAAAATGTCTAGTTTTAATATGAGCCAAAATATTCAACGAAAATTTTTTAAAATTTTTAACAAAATTTTGGTGATACTTGATTACGCTCAAATTCTACTGTTTAGATGTGGGTACGGACTTTTACTTCCTTGCCAAATTTAAAATCGATAGCTACATATTTCGGTCACTTACGACGTATTTGAATATAGCACGGAATATCCCGAAGACCCTGTACAGTATGTGAAAACTTTAAATACAGAAGTTTTAGCAGTAGATACAGGCTATATAGCTACGTAAAAAAAACTAGCAACAGAATCACAGCCTTCTTGTTAAGGTCAATTATCATTACAAAGGGAGACCAAGTTTCAGTTTTTTACAAATTACCGACGCACCCTGTACATTTTTAAAAAATCATCAAGAATAAAGGTTTTTGATCCGGACCTTGCGCGTCGTTTCGTTAAAGAATTTTTTCGATAGCAAATTTAAAACGGTCCGTTTACGTTTCAAATACGTTACGGTCCATCTGAGGCAAGACTTAATGCAGAATAAACATCTGTCAAAGCAATAAACGCACTATATTTTTGGTCGTATTATATAAGAATCTATTGGATGTTCCATTTAGTGATACTAAGTACGGCACGAACAATCCATCGATCGTAGATGGAGAAATGATTTTTTTCTCGATACCTCGAAAGTGCGGTTTTTACTTTTAAACAAATACTTCTCGACCCCAGCCCCAGTTTCAATAGGCTTCGTTACCGAGCAAATTTCGGACACTTATCGTGTTTCATAGCAAAGTACAAAAAACTGCCGAAAATCAGACTCATTTTTTACTGGTTTGTGTACCTCGGGCACGGCTTAAAAGAAGTCAAATTGGAAGGCCGGCGTTAAAAAGATATAGTCAGTTAATGCCAGGTCTACACAGAGACGGAGAACGGAGAACAGAAAAAAAATTTTTTTTTCCACGCTGAATTTCTGGACCTAGGTCCCTAGGTCCCTAGGTCCCTAGGCCTCTAGGACCTACCGTTGCCGAGATATAAGTTTCGTTGCCAAGCGCGTATGCTTTCGAAAAATTCGAATTCATCGATTTGTCGAAAGTAACAAGGAATAATATCACTTTTGAACTTCCTAGAGCTTACAATAATCTAGGACAACATTTTAAACAAACTCTAATATCGCTGTATTTGCTCATATTTCTTTTTTCTTTACTGTTGTTTACCAATTTTCTGTTATTCCATAACTTATAGTATAATTAATTATTAAAAAATAGCATGTTTAACTAACCCAGATACTCCTGTATAGTGTGCGTTTTTCGAACAATTACGATATTGCACTTTTCAGACGTTTAATTTTCATTTTCCACGCGTTCTGCGCGGCTTTTTTTGCTAGAAATTATATTTTTGGTGACGCGATCGCGAAAGTACACAAACGCACTTTCGAAAATCCGCCAAAAAGGTTATAATTGAATACTTTTTATAAAACTTCATCCTGTTGGCTTTTCCAAGCTCTGTGGAAGTTCCTTTAAAAAAAACAAAGTTAGAATTGGAACTTACCCGCAGGCGAGGTAGCGTCTGTCGTCCTGCCGGCGCATAGCGACGGTACCGGCAGTTCCAGTTTCCTGCCGTTGACGAATTGGGCGGAACCGACGCCCGCGAGCGCCGCGACGACCGTCAAACACGCGAGCAACATCACCGAAGTATCAAAAACGAAGGGGCCTCATACGCGCGTCTCTTTTAAAGCCACCGTCCGGAATTCGGATGCGTTAATAGCCCATTACTGACGACTAACTACTCCGACGACTTTCGAAATTTAATTTCAAATTTTTTCAGCTCGAGCGGCTCCATTTCGGTGATAATTTCGAAAATATTTTTGGTTTTTCCTCCAAATAACACTGGTATGAAATATTTTTGACCGATTATTTGTGGCATGTAAGGTTTTTTGCAAATATTATAGGAAAACAACTCAAATTACAATACTTTCCTGATTTTCGTCCTTAGAGTTCCCAAGAAACTTAATCACTTCTTTAAATGAAACCCAGGGGCTTTCCTCGATATTGGTCATTGTGTTGTGAAAATCCTTATCTTTGCATAATGTTCTAATCTGGGGCCCAACAAAAGTGACCCCTTTTATCTTGGCATCAGATATGGATACTGCTTCATCAAGCCAGGTTTGATACGAAGAGGAGGCAGTAAAACTTTTTGGGGTCAACTAAGCTATCTCTTAATACATTTATGCTTCTTCCAGATCGCCATTCTATTTGAGTCCAATGTAAGTATTTAAAAGTCTTAAATTTCAAGGTGCCAGTAAATGCTTATCTGGAAGTTAACAATTCGGATGCATCTTTTAGTAGGTGCATATCTAACTAAATAATTTAATTCGCTCCAGATTTTGGGTTTGGGCTCTCTGAAGTCTGGTTTGAAATCTGAGTCATCTGATCTGATCTGAGGAACTGATCGAATAACAATTTGCTTCTTATTTTTTGTGTTGAATCCTTGCACATTACAAGAAGAAAAATAACAATCATCACTGTGATTCCTATGCTCTTGCGATACCCTTTTGCGAGTTTCTTAATGCTTCAACGCAAACGGAACACACAGCTACACACTTTTAACTTCTTTGTTTTTGCTGAACTTCTAAATGTCTTTTTTATTGCACATACGGTTGACTTGGTTATTTCATATTTCTTAGCAAGCAGAGACACACAATCACTTTTACCCAGGGATTCTAGCTGTTCGCCTGTTTGTTTTAAATTCATATTTGCTGCGTAACACCTCACATTTAAATGTACTACGCCGCCCTGAACCTGATAGCATGTAAAATACACACAAATAATAATCAACAACGTGAAACACCTGTTCTGTTCTTCACTTCTTCTACCATTTGTGTGTTCACTCTACGGGGTGGTTCACTAAATCGTGCCAGCTACCACTTTAATCCGGTCATTTTAGGAGGCCAGCAGTTAGAGATGAAATTTGCCAGACATTACAGGTGTATATACCTATACCGTTGTTAAATTTAATTTTCTCCTCGCGTGGGTCCCTAATTGCGGTGTTGCCGAGGGATGCACTATGCCGATACAATCTACGCTCGCGGAACAATGGATTCGGTTAATTGGGGAAGATGGAGGACCATTTAAAACCAAGCGATGACGTTTTTTCTCCGTTTCCACGGCCGTCTACTTTTATTTCGACGACTACCGTTCTAGTTCGTCCGATAGCTGCGAATGTTTGCTGGGACTTATATAGGAATAGCTTTGGACTATATCCCGGGACGTTTTTAAAAAAAAATTAAACGCGGAAAAGGGATTAGAATTTTGCACTGCTAAAATAAAAATAAAAAAAATAAAATGGCGGCGGAGGTTAGATCTGTTTTTATTTAAATGATGGCGTTATCGGAAAAAAACGAGTTAGATCTCTAAAAGAGAACCAGCAGAACCATTTGCCAGTAAGCACGCAGTAGGAATTTTATAATAATATATGTATCCTTCTCCTAGGTGCCGTCTCTCTTGAGGTTGGCGATCACCATGGAAAATTGATGTCTATGTTGGGCTTGATGTATGACCACAGCCGTTGATTTTTGCTCCTTCAGTGAGGTGCTCTAACGATTGTTTGATGACATATTGCATTTATGCCTCCGACTTCTGTAAATTTATTAAGCATTGTTCCTCCCATCAGTACGCAGACGACACTCAAGTATATCTCTCTTTTAATTACGCTCAAATTAATACCGTCCTTAATAATATAAACAGTGACCTACGTGCTCTCAGTGACATTTCTAGTAAGCATGGTTTAACACTGAAAGGAAATAAGACGCAACTTATATTTTTTGGTAAAGATAAAGGAAACGTAATTAGTTTAGACCCTGGCAAAATTCAATTAAATGACCTTCCCTTCATTAATTCAGAAATCGTTTTACAAGCTTCGGATTCTCTACTGTAATAAATATATTCCAGACACAGCAATTAAGTTAAAACTTACGGATTCTTTAATTCCCTCCTCAATTTCATACTGTATGGTAGTTTACTGGCCTGCCCTACTTCAAAAGGACAGGGTTAGTTTTCTCATACAACATTCGTAAATTCGATCACAGCCTAGAGGATTCTCGGAGCCTTTTAGTTTTAATTAAAAAAGTAATATCTTTCCAACGTCCGACGTATCTTTTTGACAAACTTACTTTTTTTTTGAATTCACTCTAGCAGTTAGCAGTTAGCAGTTAGCAGACGAAAACCGTAAATACAAAAATTGTAGCCTTTGATACGGTCTATCACACTGTTTGAACGGATTTTTTTCCATAACTAAACCACCTTGTACATAATCGAAAAAATTGCGATGTTTTTCTGGATGCCAAAATAACAAAAAAAAAATAAAAACAGTACTCCACGTTATTTTAATGCTCCCAGTTTAAAGAGTCTAAATGCGAGTCCAGACTTCTACTTCTCTCCCAACTCTGAAGTCGGTAGCTGCAAATTTGGGGCACTTACTATGTTTTTCAATATTGCACAGAATATTGCGAACACCCTGTATAATACTTAAAAGCTTTAAATACAAATGTTTTAACTGTCTATATGGGCTATATCGTCATGTAAAAGAAACTGACATCTAAACCGCAGATTTTAAATTATTGCCAATTTCCAATAATGACGGGACCCATTTTTCAGTTTTTTTGAATTTGCGGCGCACCCTGTATATTTTTGAAAAATTATCAAGGATAAAAGTTCATGGAGCCATATCCTCTGCGTCTCTTGGTTTACGCATTTTTTGAGTCTTGTAAACGGTTTTTGAAAAATGGTCATTTTTGTAAACCCTTGCACACGCGATTTTTAATTTTTTTTAAATACTTCCCGACCCCCCAACCCACCCATTTTCAATAGGTTCCGTCACACAAATATGAAGTCGATTGCTTCAAATTTCGAACACTTATCGTGTTTCATAGCAAACAGTCGAAAATCGCGAAAAAAGATGGATATCGGCGTCGGATCAGGGCCATTTTTTACAAGCTTATGTGCCTCCTGGTGTGCTAAAAAGGATGCAAATTTCAATTTTGTAGCTCCAACGGTTCGAAAGTTATTCAGAAAAAAACAAAAGACAAGAACGGAGAACGGACAGACAATTTTTTTTTTGACGGTGATCATTTCTATATCAACGGCGATCCTGAGATATAAAATTTTTATACGAGCGCAGATAATTTCGAAAAATTCGATTTTCGAAAGTAACAAGCAAAACACGGTTCTGAAGAATAAAAAATAATGTTGGCCAAAATAAGTGTGCATCGGTCGAAAATGCTCAAAATTTGTATACTTGAGATTTCTGACCAAAAAAAAAACGCCCTGTATATTGCGCGAATGGAGTTTTTGCCCTGCTAATCGCCTCGGACGACCGCAATTTTCCGCCAATTGATCAATTAGCCGCCGACGTCGACCAAGTTTCTACCGCCCGGGAACCCGCCCCCGCCCCACCCCGTGGGAAACGCTCAGGTGGCGACGACGCGATTAACGCGGTCCCGACAAAACGTCGTCGTCGCCGGGGCGCCCCGACTTAACAACAAAACGTCATCAATTATTACGGCACGCAATTACGGCTTATTGGAATTCCGAAAGGGGCCGCGACATTCCCTAAAGCCCCCCGGCCGTCCCCCCCCCCCCCCCCGCCTTGGGGAGATTTCGGGGAATGTAAAAAAGAGACCTACATCGAAAGATTTTGTTGGCAAAGCTACAAAGGTCACTCTAACGTTGTCTATCTCTCTCGCTCTCGGACGGTACTCTTCTTAAAGGTATAGACGTTGAGATATTTTTAAAGGGTTTTTTTTTCGATGTATAGAACTTTAAGTTGGCATTATTGTTCAAGATGGCGACCGATTTAATAGCTGTCAAGTGATTTATTCTTAGTTTGGTTTGGCAATTCACAAGCACAAGGCTTGCAAATAGGGCAATTTTATTTCGAAAATCATAGGAATCGGATCCGTGTCCATCCACTTTATGGAAGATTTTGTGGAAGGAGCTTGGTTTACGTGCTTACAAAATCCTCGTGCAAGAATTGAAGTCAAACGATCATCAAGTAATTCGTAGATTCGTCGAATGGGCCCAAAACAAGATTGCCGTTGTTCCCGATTTTCATAAGCGAATTTTGTTTAGCGATGAAGCGCACTTCTGGTTGAATGGCTACGTCAACAAACAAAACTGCCGCATTTGGAGCGAAGCTAATCCTCAAGTGTATGTCGAAACACCGTTACATCCAGAAAAACTGACTATTTGGTGCGCTTTATGGGCTGGTGGAATAATTGGTCCGTACAATGGTGATCGGTATAGAGCTATGATTACTAACTCTTTCATTCCTGAATTGAATAACCATGATGTCCAGGAGATGTGGTTTCAACAAGACGGTGCAACATGTCACACAGCTCGTGCCACAAGACACGTTTGGTGACCGCCTAATTTCACGTTTTGGACCTGTGAATTGGCCTCCAAGATCTTGTGATTTAACACCGCTAGACTACTTTCTGTGGGGCTATGTAAAGTCATTGGTCTATGCGGATAAGCCACAAACGCTTGACCATTTGGAAGACAACATACGCCGTGTTACTGCGGATATACGGCCACAAATGTTGGAAAAAGTCATCGAAAATTGGACGTCCAGATTGGACTACATCCCCGCCAGCCGTGGCGGTCATATGTCAGAAATCATATTTAAAAT